GCCGGGCGATTGCAGCTGGACAGTTGGGGCAGAGCTAGGCAACCCTAAACCCTAAACCCTAAATGGCTTCAGTGAGAAGTGGACCCTTGCGCCATGGTGGCAAGGATCCAGCTCCAGGGAAGGCGCCGGCACACGTCCCCCCCCTTTTGGCCCCGTTGTCCGAAGTCCTACGCTGCGGCCCGGCTGGATAAGTGATCAAGCCGTGACAGGATCCTCTGTAAGCTCGTGCCCCCTGAGAACCCAATACCCCTTAATTAAGGAATATACCTCAAACTACAGGGGCCTTAATCTTATGACTTAAGGTATACTCCTTAATTAAGGGGTATTGGGCTCTCTGGGCCAGCAAGCAGAAGGCGCCCCGCGGTCGACAACTTGCACACCACCAGGAAGTTCTTTGGCCGAACTCCGCCGCAAACACCAGAAGTGTGAACATCTTTGCCACCCAACAGATTGATCCAATATACAGGATCCATATTGACTCCAATAATCCAAGTGTTTTGAGGGTTCCATGCACCCTCGGTCCGCCAAGAGCTCCGAGCATCTCCAGACTCACAGCTGCCCGATCAATATATATATATATATACATACATACACCCATAGTTCTGGATACAGGTATCTTATATGGTATCTGTGCGTTTCGGGGGGTAACTGTATGTGTACCATATGAAGATGCGAGTAGAAATGTAGTGCTATGCTTGGATGTATGTTGTTCTATAGCAGCTAGCCCCGAATCATGGGGAAGAAACCCGCCACGTAGTCCACGACGAGACTGCTGGAGTGGCGTCTCGAATCCAGATGCAGCAAGAGCATGATGCAATGCCTGAATTCTTCATAGGGAGCCTACTTTAAGCTGTCGTTTTGGGGCTTTATGCATATATGTATGCAGCATGCATATTATATATATATATATATGTTTTTGGGAAGGGAGAGAGAGAGAGAGAGACAGAGACAGCGACGAGCAAATTAGACAGTTTCGTCGATGGAACTTAAACTAGGTAACCAGGTTCTTTCACAAAAGCCCGGATGCAAGGTCAATGCTATGAGCACGTGCCACCAGGTGTGCAGCTGCGGGTACGGCAAGCCGCCCGGCAAGTTCCGCAGCACGCTGCAGAAGTAGTTGTCCAGTAGCCAGGAGACCACCGAGAGTGCGAACAGCAGCAATGCGGAATACAGGATTCCTTCCTGAAGGCTGAGAGTGGCTCAAGGAGGCAAGACTTCCTCATGGTCTTTGGGCTGCACACCTCCTCTCATACCCCGTTTGCCAGTACTTGATTAACGTCCTAGAAATCCTACGTTGGACACTCCGCACTCAGGATGACAGTGCTGCAGAATGAAGATGGCTATGTTGCGGAGGCATCAACACCCGACACTGCTACATAACACTTCATAGGCGCAACTTCATGTAGCTCCACATCACCCGGATCACCTAAACCCCTAAGCCTAAACCATAAACCCAACACATGCAAATCTTGGCAAGCCCTGTCGGCCCCCTCCATGAATCTAGCTGCTGCCCGGATCGCTGAACTTCAACCTCAATCATGTAGGGGCCTTAATAATTAGAATAGGGTTGTGGGGTATACTATACTATAATTATAATAAGCAATTAGAATAGGGTTTTGGGGTATAATATACTATAATTATAATAAGGAACGCCCCCTCAAGATAGTATTGGTAATTCTCCAGGCCCCTCTATCAAACAAGAATCCTCCAAAAGCCCCACCCTAAACCTTCCCAGCTTCCGCAGCAGCGGCAGCTCGACGCTGCTTGTCGGAGACTTCTCGCTTGATCCTGCGGTTGAGGGTTTAGGGGTTTAGGGTTTAGGGTTTAGGGTTTAGGGTTGAGGGTTTAGGGTCTTGGACAATGGTTTTTGTAAGTGTAGTGACCTTTCTGTGATCCGGCCTGCCCCCATAGAGGCTATATATACAATGGTCTGGGGTTTGGGGCTTAAAGCTTTTGGTTCTTAGGGTTTAGTGCTTTGGGATTCTACAGGGCGTGTCATCGATGTGACTCCCGTCTCATAAGCTTACGTGGGGATCAGGGGACGTAGTAAGCAAGGTTCTGAGTACAAGTACCTCAGTCGGGGGTAGAAGTCATCAGATCTATCCCTACGTAGCCGCAAAGCCCAAAACAGGAGAGCTCTAATGTAGAATCCTGCAACATTAGCAATACTACCCCTTAAGGTTCGCATTGTTGCGATAGTAGAATGTGTCGCCCCCACACATCCCATTCTAACGACCAGGGCCCGTATACTAAACCCTTACCGTATACTAACAATAAAGATCCGTTTCAATGGACCCCATATTAAACGTACTCTATTTTTTCTAGCCTCTTCTACTAAGTTCCCTGATCCTCCAAGTTTGGCACAGGGCTGTCGAGCCTTTTCGGTGTGAAGGCTGAGGGGTGCTGTGCTCAAGGGGCCAGAGGTGGGCTGAGGATAGGCAGGAACCAGGATCCTGTATATGTACATGTGAGATATATATATATATATATATATACATATATATATAATTTATTTATTTATTTATACACGAATATGTTATGTAGGCACATGTGTATATGTATATATACATGTGTAAGTAAGTAAGTAAGTAAGTAAGTAAGTAAGTAAGTAAGTAAGTATGTATGTATGTATGTAGGTATGTATGTCTGTCTGCATGTACGTTTGCATGAATGCATGCATGCATGCATGCATGCATGCACGCATGCATGCATGGATGCATGCATGCATGCATGTATGTATGCATGTGAAGAGTATTTTTGTGTATATGATTGAAAATAATTTTATGATCCCCACAGAACTCTCTGAATCCCTCTGACTCTAAGTCTAAGACTCTAAGACTTTTGGCTTGGATTTCCTTCACCCAAGTCCATTACACCACTGGAACACCGCCTCGGACACGTTAAACTGCAAAACTGGCTTCTTACCCACAGACTGCCAAATCGCCTAGTTAGGGAAGTTCGAGGTTATGCTGGAAAAGCTGGGTTTTAGTTCTAAGCTTCAGCACTTTAGAGGTTTGTTGCCTAACTCGCACGAGTCTCTGCATGACAAGCACTAGCTGACTAGCTCCTTGGGCCTACACTGAGCCCTGGGTTTTTCGGCATCTCCTATTAATGTAAGTGGCCCGACGACTCCGAGCCCTAAGCCATCCTAAGCCCTAAGCTCTAAACTAAAACCCTCAACCCTAAACCCGGGGACCTTTCCGTTCCTAAGCCCTAATGTAGGGGCCTTAACAGGTAGAATAGGGCTTTGGGGTTCCTTTCAGGGTTCTATAAGAAGGAACCACCAAAATAGTATAGGTCCCCACATTGAACCCTTATGAACGCAACACCGACGGCCCGCCGTCGTGCCTCGCAACCAGTGCAGAGGCACCCCACCCTGGCCACGCGGGGAAGGCGCAGATTTTTGAAGCATACTTCGGCAATTCATGGGAAGGCTGCATTATACATTATTTCAAGACCCGGGTCAAAAATAAGCTCCTACAAACAGTATACTGTAGGTTCTTAGGGGCTCAATTATGGGCTCCGGCTTACCATCTAATCCATCTATGCGAGAGGGCGTTTGGTTTCAGTGGCTAGGTTAGGGGGCAGTGTAGGTGCCAGCATGGTCCAACACGACTCCACGCCAGGAAGCGAAACCACGCGGCTCGAAGGAAGTCATACGTGTGTGTACATATATATATATGTATGTATATAATAATAATCATAATCATAATAAGATTTCGAGTTAGTGGCGCCTTGATTAGAGTGAAGCTTGTAGGCTAGATGCCCATAAAGGGGATACTATCCAACTCTTCTGCACTAGAACTCTCTCTCCCGTGCGCCTATCACGACAAGGCCTGTGCTGAATGACAAGGTCATGAGGCCACGAAAAATCCTGAAGCGCAGCGAGGAGTGCACAAGGGGGTGTTGATGTCGCGGTTCAAAGCTTCAGGGTTTTCGGGCATCAGGTCTTGGTGCGAAAGGGGGCGGGTTAGCGCTTGAGGGCTTTAGGGTTTCAAGGTCGCTGGAGATCTTGCAAGAAACGCAAAAATGTGTACCCTCTACAACGCGCTGCGACCCAGCGGCTCGTGGATGAAGGAGTGCTGCTCCGTAACCTTGGGGACTGAACGATGCGACTGGCACGGTAAGGGTCCCCTGCTGCGTTAGTTCTGAATCTCTCTCAGCCCGCATATTTGCAGTACCTAAACCCTAAACCCCTAAACCCCTAAACTTCAACTGGCGAAAGTAGCTCTGGCCACAGAGGCCCCCCCCTGCACGGTAGAACCGCTATCATCATGGCAAACAGATGCTACCAAAGAAATCATCCCAATAGCGACCGCAGCATCAACACTAGCCATGGCGTAAGAAGTAGGGTTCTTACTGCAAGTTATCCCAAACAGGAGACACACGATGACCCTCGGCGCCAATCTTCCAGCGGAGGCCTTGATGCACTCATATTGGAGTAAACGGGAAAAATTGTGCAAATCCTCACAATAGCAGGCATTTGCAGCGGGAAAAGTCGATAGCAGCCACAATGCCGATGGTTGTCACGATTGTGAAAATCACTGTTACGATCTGTACTGTGACACCACGACTAGCCAGCAGTCACTGCAGTCACTAGTCTCAGCAGAATCATATGGATACAGAACCACAGCCATCATCACCGTCTTGATCGGATCCACCGTCATAACCCTGGTCTTTAAAATCTGATAGCCACAGAAAGCTTGACGTCACAATGTACGTTACAAACGAGCACCAAAGGCCAAAAACAGCACTAAGGCCCAGTCCAGGATTGATCCGGTGACGAGCGCCACCCACCCGGTAGTCAGGTACGAGACATCGATGCCTCGCAGCCGCCACAAGCAGCTGGAGTCCACGGCAGCCACATACCTACGGCTTTGGGGCACGCGGCAAGCGACAAGGGATGGTTCAAGGATGCAGGTGTGTGGAGAAAGGGATTCTTGAGAATTTTAGACTCGGACGGCTCACCTGGGATGCTATTTGGTGGCACTGCAAGACAATCAAAAGACTCTTCGATCCGAAATTGCTCCCAGTCTGGCTTGCGTTGCATGCTGCCACAGCATCGGGATCTCGTCAGCAAGCTGCATCGGATATCTCAGCGTCGCATGGAAGAGGATGCTACCCACAGCAATGGCGACTTCGAGCCATCCGATGACAGTGTTGTCTAAGGTTGCCTGCGTGCGGAAGCATTAGATTTGAGCTACACTGACTCAAATCAAGGATACAAGATATACTTTGACCCAAACAATACGAGCATTCAGAACATTGCCAATGTTCTCTTCGATGCGAGCCTCGTGCGTTGCAAGGAACATCAGTGGCAAAGCGACCATGACCAAGCAAGAAGCCGTGTTCACAGGCTCCGCAATCCAATCCACGAGCTGATAGTCCTACAAGCTGAGTGCAAGAAAAGTCCTATTTGCGAGGTTCTCACCCAATGGCGCAACGTTGCATGCAAACTTGAAGGTTCGAGTACGGACATACGCCACTCCATGATATCATGCTATGGCGCAGGACGAGGCCATGTGTGGAGAACAACACCTCTCTCACTGCAAAGGCTCCAGCTCGCACCAGTTGAACTCGGCATCTGGTTGGCCCCAGTAACCAGCGCGGCTAGTGGAGCTCTTCTTGATTTCTTCGGGTATCCTCGGTGCGTTTGCTGCAAGTTTAGATTGGAAGGCCCAAAATGAAGTTATAATGAGCAAACCCCTAGGCGTTCATGGGTTCACTGCTGTACTGACGATGACGAAAGCCAGGACGGCTCCGGAATTATTTATATATTAACCTCACTGCCACACTTTAATGCGACATTCAGCTTCAGTCGAAAATGATCACTCAACCCCAGCCGTTTGCAAATCAAGCTGCGCAAAGAAGTAGCAAGTTGATGTGAAACACATCAACGTAGCCAAGGCAGATGCAACGATCCATGGCCGCATCTGGTGCAGGCTCTCGCATCGAACTGCAACCTGCTCCAACCTGTTGACAGTTCCTGCTCGGGCCTCCGACGAGAAACTTCAAGCAGAGTCCCTTCATCTGCTTCACACTAGCAGCAGCAGTGCTATGTCGGGTATGCCTCCTGTGTATAACATCTACAGATCGGCTGACGCATGGCATGCCTTACGAAGCATATGCACCCAGGGCTTGAACTTGGCGCTCGTACCAGAACAGCCTCGGCCTTTTTCGGATGGCTTCGTCCGCGCCGGATCAAAGGCAGTCTCCACAACAAGGTAGTTTGTTGATGCGCTAAATCAGAGCACCAGGTCAATATTACCTAATAAGCCCAACAGCCCAAAAGGGCCTGACCCATCGGGTCCGTAGGTCTTTGAGTCCGGGAAGGTGGCCAGCAGCTGCGTTTCTGCAGAGCTCCTGAAGCGTACCAATAGCCAGCTCTGGACCGCTGCGGCGTCCGCCCTTGTAGTGCCCAGAACCTCCCCGGGCGCGCTGAGAGAGCTCCAGCTTCGTCTGCCCGGCACCACTCGAGACAGAGCCCAATCAGGTAGATCTCCGGGGGCTCGTCGCCAGGAGCAATACACACACCCTAAACCTCCAAAACCATCACAAGAGGCCATCTCAGCCACGCCCGTCGGGCCGTCCCTCTGGTCGAAGATTTCGGAGCTCCCGCAGCCGTAACAACCAAGGAGCCTCGAACTCCAGGCGCTGCAAGGAAGCCTGCGCTCAAGGTCGCAGCCTAGATCATGAAACATACATGTGACCAACAGGAGATCACAAAGTGTGCAACAAAAATACGGTCATGGAATGTAACGCAACATAACATGTAATCACATGTAATGTAACGTAATGTAATGTAATGTAATGTAATGCAATGCAATGTAATGTAATGTAATGTAATGTAATGTAATGTAATGTAATGTAATGTAATGTAATGTAATGTAATGCACTGTAATTGCGGCTGGCCTGGTCTGTAAAGGCATCCCAAACACTGACCTTTGAGCAAACGATGCTGATATTGTGTTGCTGTCCTGGTCGTTTGGGGTTCTTCGAGAAAAACGTTGCGACTAATGATGCTTCAGACACACACACAGAGAACAGGTGCAGATCGACTCTTGTTAACGAAACGTGTAATGATGTAATGCTCAGCAGAGTCAGAGTTTTAAACGAATTGTGGCACAACAAATGACGCCGATGATCGGTGGCCAGCGCAGTGGACCATGGAGTCTGATAATGCGTGGCTTGGCTCATCTTCAAACACTTTCCAGAAAACCTTGGAGCAAATGATGGTGATGATGCGTGGGCGGCCTAGTCGTTGGAAGTTGTCTAAAACAAAATCTGCGAGCAACCGATGCTGATGATGAATGGCTTGGCTCGTCTTTGAAAGCTTTCCACGTTGCAGCAACTGATGCTGATGATGTGTGGTTGGCCTGGTCTTTGGAAGCTTTCAGAAAAAAACATGGAGAACATGATGCTGACGATGTGTGGCCTGGCTCGTCTTTGAACGCTTTCAAGAAAGAACCTGGGCAAATGATGCTAATTATGCGTGGCTGGCCTGGTCTTCGCAACCTTTCTCGAACAAACCTCGGATGAAATGATGCTTGGCTGGGCCTGGTCATTGCAACCATTCCAAGAAAGACCTTTGAGCAAATGATGATGTTGACGATGATGATGCGTGACTGGCCTGGTCTTTGCAACCTTTACCAAAAGACCTGGGAGCAGATGATGCTGATGATACGTGGCTAACCTATTATGTCCATTCAAAAAACACCTTGGAGCAAATGATGCTCATGATGCCTGGCTGGCCGGGTCTGTTCAACCCCTCCCAAAAAACCTTGGAGCAAATGATGCTAATGATACGTGGCTGGTCTGGTTTTGCAACCTTTCGCAAGAAAACCCTCGGAGCAAATGATGCTGATGATGCGTGGCTGGCCTGGTCGTCCCAAAGAAACCTTGGAGCAAATGATGTTCATGATGCGAGGGTGGCCTGGCCTTTGCAACCTTTCCATAAAAATCGCGAAGCAAATTATGCTGATGATGTATGGCAAGCCTGGTCTTTGCAACCTATACCAATGAGACCTTGAAGAAAATGATGCTCATGATGCGTGCGTGGCCTTGTCTTTGCAACTTTCCCCAGAACAACCTTGGAGCAAATGATGCCAGTTCTGCGTGGCCGGCATGATCTTTGAAAGCTGTGCAAAACACCGTGGAGCAGATGATGCCGATGATGCGTGGCTGGCCTGGTCTTTGCAACATTTCCCAAAAAACACCTTGGAGCAAATGATGCTCGTGATGCGTGGCTGGCCTGGGCTTTGCAACCTTGCCCGAACAAAAATGTGGAGCACATGATGATGATGATGATAATCATGATATGGCTTGGCCTTGATTGAAGGCTTTCCAGAAAGACCTTCCGTGGCTGGCTCATGATGCCTGTGGCCTGGCCTTTGCCGCGTTTTCTGGGAGCGAATGGTGCTCATGATGCGTGGCTGGCCTGGTCGTTGCAACCTTTCTGAAACAACTCGGAGCAAATTTTAATGATGATGCGTGGCTGGCCTGGTCGTTTCAACCTTTCCGAGAAAAATCTTGGAGCAAATGATGATGATGATGATGATGATGATGAGACTGGCCAGGTCTTTGCAACCTTCCCTGGGGAGAAAATCAAGCTGATGACACGTGGCTGGCCTGGTCCTTGCAAGCTTTCCCAAAGAAACCTTACAGCAAATGATGCCGATGATGCGTGGCTGGCCTGGTCGTTGCAACCTTTTACAAAGAGACCACGAAGCAAATGATGCCGATGATGCGTGACTGGCCTGGTCTTTGCAACCTATATCAAAGAGACCTTGGACCAAATGATGCTCATGATGCGTGCCTGGCCTGGTCTTTGCAATTTTTCCCAGAACAAGCTGGGAGCAAATGATGCTACTGATGCTTGGCTGAGCTGATCTTTTTTGGCAATCTTTCCCGAAAAACCGTGGAGCAAATGATGCTGATGATTCGTGGCGAACTTGTCTTTTTGCAACTTTGCCCGAACAAACCCTGATGATGCGGGGCTGGTCTGGTTTTTGCAACCTTTCCCAAAAGACCTTGAAGCAAATGATGCTGACGACGCGTGGCTGCCCTGGTCTTTGCAAGCTTTCCCAAAGAAACTTCACAGCAAATGATGCCGATGATGCGTGGCTGGCCTGGTCGTTGCAACCTTTCACAAAGAGACCACGAAGCAAATGATGCTGATGATGCGTGGGTGGCCTGGTCTTTGCAACCTATATCAAAGAGACCTTGGAGCAAATGATGCTCATGATGCGTGGCTGGCCTGGTCTTTGCAATTTTTCCCAGAACAAGCTGGGAGCAAATGATGCTACTGATGCTTGGCTGAGCTGATCTTTTTTGGCAATCTTTCCCGAAAAAACGTGGAGCAAATGATGCTGATGATTCTTTGCAACCTTTCCCAAAAGACCTTGAAGCAAATGATGCTGACGTTGCGTGGCTGCCCTGGTCTTTGCAAGCTTTCCCAAAGAAACTTCACAGCAAATGATGCCGATGATGCGTGGCTGGCCTGCTCGTTGCAACCTTTCACAAAGAGACCACGAAGCAAATGATGCTGATGATGCGTGGGTGGCCTGGTCTTTGCAACCTTTCCCCATAGACCTTGGAGCAGTTGATGCTGCCGATGCGTGGCTGTCCTGGTCTTTGCAACCTTTCTCAAAGAAACCTTGGAGCAAATGATGTTCATCATGTGTGGCTGGCCTGGTCATTGCAACCTTTCCAAACTATTTTTTTGGAGCAAATGATGCTGAGATGCGTGGCTGACCTGGTCGTTTAACCTTTCCAAGAAGCAAATGACGCAGCTGGCCTGGTCTTTTTAACCTTTTCCAAAAAACACTTTGGAGCAAATGATGCTGATGATGCGTGGCTGGCTTGGTCTTTGCAACCTTTCCCAGAGAAACCTTGAAGCACATGATGCTGATGATGCGTGGCTGGCCTGGTCACATTTTCTTATTGCATTACATTACCTGACTTTACTCTACGTTACATACTATTCTGTCGTTTCTGTTTGTATTCTGTTATCTCATTTTCTCTCAATCATATCACAATCACATTATGTTGTGTTTTACTGCTTTATATTGCGAAATATGAGAAATCAAACATTTCCTGTACTTCAGTTTACTAAAAAAGTGTGCTATGCCAATCTTTTTACTGCACTATGCTACAATCGATCAGGAGAATATGCATCACATTGTGATCGCTTATCTTATCAATTTTTGTAGGCTGAAATACCGTGTTACTTCATGTTGCCGTACTATGGTATCTTGTATTGTAGTGTTATATACTAGTTTAAGTCTGGTTGTGTCATTGCTACCATCTGTTGTACTCTACCTCACTGTACTCCACACTCTGCTACGATGTCTCGGGGTAGGTTATCATTGTTTAAGCTATGTACGTTACACTAGACTAGTGCTACATGACAGCAGCGCATTATATTATTTATGCTATCAGGCTTTATATGTAAGATCACATGGAGTTTATATTGCATATCTTCTTCTTGTGCTGGCAATGCACTACCCGATTTATACAACACAGTTACACAGTCAGTACTGTGACACATTATATACACATATGTTTGTCCCTACAAGTACATCTTGTGTTCATAGGTTCCTCTTCAGAAGTTCTGTGCCTCTACGGCAACCATGCTCAGAATCTTTCTAGCATCTCTGGGCAATGCGGAACACTCCAACAAGCCCTAAACCCAAGCCCAACTTCTAACCCTTCCCGGCTCAGATCTCTGCACTTCCCTTCCTTCCCTCAGGACGGAATGATCCTTGCATAATATATTGGGGCCAGGCTACTACACTACACTAATGCCTATTATATAACATCTGAATACAGAAAATTACCAGAAAAACTGCTTCTGAGTTCATACCAACAGACCAAGCCTGAAGGGCCGCCGCCTCCGAGCCCGAAAGGCCCATGGCTGGTAGAAAGCGGGAGACCTGGACAGCGCCCGGAAGAGACGTGTTTCTGTATTACCGTGCGACCACCAGGAATCTTTTCTGATTGCTAAGGGAAATAGTGTGCTGTTGGCTGGTTCTTTCACAGCACCGAATAAGATCCTCACCACTGCGAAGACACGAACTCGCTCCAATGTCTACATGTGTACCGCTTGCTGTGGGGAAGACGCACAAGACAAGCATCACTGCCATCAGCAGCATTGCGGCAGCATGGTCAGCTTCACTCGCACCAACAAGAACCACACCAACAAAAGCAAGTTAGCGACATTCATTGATTCTTCTGAACAATAGGTCTACGGTCTACTGGCTAGCAACCGTACTGCTGGCATTCGTTTACTGGTAAACATGCCCTTGTTGTCGTTGGCGGCGTTGTGCCTGCTGCTCTTGCGTTGGCGGCGTTGTGCCTGCTGCTCTTGCCTCTGTTGATGTTGTCGACTTCGTCAGATACAAGTATGACTACGATCATTGCCTTGACTAGGGTTACCGTGTCGCACCTCCCCGAGAAGTCCGTGGTGCTTGAACCGGAACTCTGCAAAGGCTCCACACCTGAGATGCGCATGACAGCAGCTCAAATGCTCAAACTAGGGCTATACTGAACTTAGACCCCTAGCAAAAATTATAATTTTAGCTGCTTCTTAGGGTGTATAGTAACCAAAGATTAAAAATTATTTCTAAGTACCCCTAAGAGGGTGGTTCAAGGTTCAGTGTGACCTCTAAAGTCTAAAGCCGTACTGGGCAGATAAGGTCAGAAGGAGGGGAGCACATGAGTTTCGCCTGTCCACGATGTGCCAAGCCACACATCCACGACATCCTTTCCGCTCATGAACTTTACCTGAGCATCAGACAATTGGCAACCGCTCGATACCGCTGGCAGACGCGACTCCAAAACCCCGAACTATCCCTAAACCACTGAAATATCATCCCGAAATCCTAAACCCGTAGACCTCTCGCCGAGTGACGTTTCGCGCTAGGTGAGGTGCGGCCACACCGAAGAGACGCTGGTGGTCAATACCAGCCTCAAAAAAAAGTGCCCAACGGTTTCGGGTTTAGGGTTTGGGGGTTTGGGGTTTAGGGGTTTAGGGTTTAGGGTTCAGCTCTGATAGCCCAGTGTAGGGGCCTTAATGATTATTTATACTATTCTGGGGGTTCCGTATTATAGCTATAGTAGATTATGCCCCCAAACTCGATTCTGATTATGAAGGCCCCGACATTAAACATGCCTAAACACTAGCCTGCTGCTAAACCGCATCAGCTCTAAACCGTCGAGCCCAAAGCCCTGACTCTTCGGCAACGAGCCCTCCATATCCCTCCATTCCGAACACCTTCAGAATTAGAACAGGAACTTAAGAGCTACTATCAGGGTTTAGGGGCCTCCACACTTAGAATAGGGTTGGGGGGCATACTGCACTATAACTGTAACAAGGAACCCCGCAAGACGCTGTTCTAATTATCAAGGCCTATAAATCCCTAAATAACCCTAATCCCCTAAACCCTTCCCTAGGTTGGCCCGCGCCTCTGCTGCTGCTGTGACCAGCATCCTTGACATGGTTTGGGCTTTGGGAATTCAAAACCTTCCGTCAAATGGCTTTGGGCTTAGAGCCTATAGGGTTTAAGGCTTAGGGCGGAGGGAGTTCCAGGTCTAGGACCACGAGTTGGGTTCAGCATTTCGGGTTTCGGGGGTTCGTGATTTCATCCGGGCAGAAAATGTAGAAGATGCAAGGCAAGTTGCGGACTCAGCCTCCAGTAGGAATGCCTTGTCCACCGCACAAGCATCTCCGGCAGCCCACCCTAAACCCCTATAAATCCTAAACCCTAAGCCCCCAAACCCCTAAACCCCAAGCTCTAAACCCTAAACCCCTAAACCCCATACCCTAAACTCTAAACCCCTAAACCCTAAACCCCAAATCCTAAACCCTAAACCTCTAAGCCCCAAACCCAAGCTCCTGGGCCCGGAGCCCAAATCTGAGCTCAACTTCTGCATGTGCAGGGATGGTAATATAGGGGCCTTAATAGTAGTTAGAACAGTATTTTGGGGGTTCCTTTAAGGGTTCTAAAAGGTGGGCGCGCCTTACTTTCCCTGGCATTCTCCTGTGTTTCCTGCACATACAGGCATCCCTGCACAAAGTCCGTCCGTTCCCACAGAGCATCCATGTCCCAACCATGTTAACCTCCACACAAACTCCGTCCGTTCCCACAGAGCATCCATGTCCCAACCATGTTAACATCCATGCACAAACTCCGTCCGCTGCCACAGAGCATCCATGTCCCAACCATGTCAACGTCCACACAAAGTCCGTCCGTTCCCACAGAGCATCCATGTCCCAGTCCCAACCTACATAGGGTTCCTTTCTTCTCTGGATAGAAACTATGTTAATGTCCACACAAAGTCCGTCCGTTCCCACAGATATTGGACTTCTAGAAGGATTAGTTTTTTATTGGCCCCAAAACTAGCCTATGCTCAAAAGTCCCACGCCTGCCACGTAAGACAAACCTTAAAGCTGCCCAAACTACCAGTGAAAATAAGGCGCGTTGACCTTCTATACGGGATACTATAGGCACAAATGCGAACAAGGGGCGGGGCGGGGATGCGGCCACAGGCCCCACCCCACAGGGGGGGGATACCATGGGATGGGGGGAAGAGGGGGTGTGGCAGCCCTGCATCATATATATATATATATATATACATATACACATGTATATACATACATGTATTTGCATACATGTGTATGTATATATATATATTATATATATATATATATATGTAGAATCACCTGGGACAAGCGGCCGCCAGGCAGACCATGGCACTGTCTCCCGCAGGCGCCAGTCGTTTACAGCCTCCGACAAAGGCGGGGAAGTCATGCCGAGCCAAAACGCGATATGGGTAGTTCCCTAAAAGGGACCCGGATTTAGAGAACTACCTATATATTGCATGTATTGTATTGTCTGATCTTACAATGTAGTGTATGCTTCTTATCTTGCCTTATCTGAAATTACATTCCTTTTGCAAAATCACATTGTATAATGTCATATGATTTTCTCGTCTATTATGTCGTTTGTTTTGTTTTGTTGTCTTGTATAAGCTACCGCGAACACCGGTTTCGAATATCATCGAACCGCGTCGACAATCGGATCCAAGGAATCGAACTTGACCCCTAAACACCTGAACCCAAACCCTAAACCCCGAGAGCCCTACACCACAACTCTGAAACGCTAAACCCCAAACCCCTTCAACCCCAAACTTCTAAACCCTGCCAGACCCTAAAACCCTAAACTTCTAAACCCCCAGCTCCGAGGCTACAAGGGCCAGAGAGTAACAGCAGGTGCCTCGTCCGCTGCTGCCCGGATGAACTCGTCGCCACCTGGTTTAGGGTTTAGGGTTTAGGGTTTATGGGACTCAGGGCCAAGGGGGTTAGGCGCTTGGGGCTTAGGTAGTTTCGGGTTTAGGGTTTAGGGGTTTAGAGTTTCGGGCTCCTCCCAGGATTCCCTGAATCTTTGTTGTTTTGTTTTGTGAGGGGAGGTGTGCTTCGAGGGTTTAGGGCTACAGGGTTATATAGGGCTTGAAGGTTTGAGGGGTTGTTGCATCCCCTGAACCAGGCGGATTAGGCTTCTGCAGGTTTCTTCAGCGTTTGAAAGCTTTAGGGCTTTTTATCCTTTCATTTTGGTGGTTTACTTTTCAACGTTTCTGCCGCATTTATTCTGAGGCTACTGCGTCCTGCATCGACACAGATCTTCCCAGATATGCCTTCAGTAAGGAGTCTTTTGTAAATCAAGTTGCGGATCCCAACTTCAGGGAGGTAAATTTGTAAATGTCAAAACTAACTGGCACCATGCAAGATCTGGGATCAGAAACATGAGGTGGGATGCTGGGGAGAGCCAAGCCCGGTTGTTCTGCGAAGCCCTCGATTGCTCAAGCATGCTGAAGCTGCCCCATTCAGTCGGTATGCCTGACAACCCGGCGCCAGCGAAGCAGAAGTAACTCAGCACTGCCGCGAGCTCGAAGGTGTTCAGGTTCTGGTAGTTGTTTTGTACATACTGCTGGCAATGCTGGGACAGAACTGTGCTCGGGAAGTCCACCTTGCGGAAAGCCAGGCACACCTGCGCCAGGTCCCTCCCTGGCAGCTTTTGGGGATCCATGGCCGACACATGCGCCGCGGCGCGCCGCCAGAAGCGTGCATCGCGCCAGGGGTGCAGGGCGGCTCGCCGGACCGCACGGACCAGGCTGTCTCCACTGAGGTTCTGGAGGTCCACGTAGGGAGGAAGGCACCGGGGTGCCTCAGACAAAGCTATGGAGACTCTCCTCTCAGCATTCTTTCAACCTGGCCTGCCTTCTCGAAGATGTAGAGCTGGAGGAAGCGCTCTGTGGGCGCAGCCATGTGCTAAGACTGCTAAGAGAGCGTCTGCCCACAAGGATTTTACAGAGCTCTTTCTGTGTGTGCATGACATTTGCGCTGTTTCAATCGTGGGAGTGACTCACATGGAGCTTGGCTTGCCGCGAAGCACAGCAACTGCCTGCTTGATCATTATCTCTCGCTGGAGGATCGTAGTATGCAGGGACACACCCAAGTGCGGAGTTCAGGTCTGTCGAGACTGCGTCGAGACGTTCGAGTCTCGTTTGAAACACGTTGCAGGAGGATGGGATTGCACCTGCCATTCCCTGTGAAGTGGGCAAAGGTACCTGGCAAACATCACAAAATATCTTCGAATCTTCGCACTTGGCCGGCGAAAGCAGTACAGAACAAGGCCTNNCCCCCCCCCCCCCCCCCGCACACTTGCAGCCTTGCGTTACAAATCTCGCAAGCCTGCCTCTGCTATTTTTCCATGGCGCACTGCCACTAAGTCTCTACGGCAAGCAAACGCTGCTAGCCCTCCTACGATGCGAGGATGCACAGAGCAACAAAAGCTGTCAGGCATGGTCTTCGCGCGTTGGCGCTTAGGGCTTGGGGTTTACAGGGTTTAGGGTTTAGGGAGGTTTAGATCTGAACAACCTCTGCGAAGTATGCAAAAGTGGTCCAGGGCTGTGATGCTTTTGGATCAAAGCTTCGCCCTGAATGGATTTGACTTGTCGTGTTCGTACAGCTCGATCTGGAAGAGTGGCGACTCTTTCCTGTCCGCAGAGCAGAGCTTTATATCGACCAGCAATATCACCGTTTAGGGTTTCCTTTGGGGTTTAGGGTTTAGGATTTTCGGGCCTTGGGGGGCCCAGAGCTCAAATCCCACAAGCTGGTTATTGTTGTCCTGAGCCCGGTCCTCTGGTATGAAATCTCGAGCCTGCCAGCCGTCCGCCAGTGCACCTGATCTCACGAGACGAAATCGCCCGTGCGAACCAAAACAAAAGCAAGAACAATCATGCTAACAGTTCAGGCAATGGTGATATGAAGGAAAGGTAATGACAGAAAGTTGGCTATCTACTTTTCTAGGCTTGTGCGGTGTAGGGCTCATGGTTGAGAGTTTAGGGTCGCCTCGTCAGCTCCAAGCCAGACCTTCTGCCTCTACACCAGACAGCCTAGAACCGAACGTGTCTCCTCATCATCTGCACCGCCCTTCAACCCGAAAGCACGTAGCCTCCAACTTTCAAAACCTGCTTTTTTGGGGCCACTTTAACCTACTGCAGATTTCCCAGAAAGGACCCTGAGGCTAAGGAAAATTGCTCTATGAAGCTGCAGGTGCCGGCTGCCTCGTCCGGGCCATCTGCCCAACGCAGGTTCCGGGCCCTGGAAGCCAAAAGTCTCTTAGGTTCTGCAAAACTCGAGGTGTGATGAGCTTTGCAGTATAAGATGTAGAGGGTTTAGATGTCTTCGGCTTTCCAGGCAGTGCGTGGGGCGAATGAGATCGAGCTGAGGCGTGCTTCCCTGCCGCAGTGCACCCAAAGAAACGCCAACCTACCGTCCGGCACTGACAGCCGACGTGGAAGCACCAAGCAAATCTCTCTTCCAGCCCGGCAGGCTCCGAGAGCGTGGCGCCACGAAGGCAGCAGGCAAAAAGCTGTCCTGGGAGCCTCACAGAGACAGCCGAGTGCTATGAGAACCAGAAGTTGGACCTCGAGCTCTCCACCAACACTGAAGTGTCTCTGAAACTCTCAGAACTTTGTAGCTGCCGCTTGTGCGTTCCACCAATAGGTCCCAAAGAAGGAAGTAAAAGGCGGTGCATTGAATCCACGAAATACTAAACCTGACAATCCTATCCCTAAACCCCAAACCCTAAACCCTATCTATTGTGTAAGGAGGGCTTCTTTCCATGGAGAAGACATGCCTCCGAGGCCACCATGGAGCTGCATGGCCCGGTCAACCACGCGCTGCGTCCTCGCCACACGACTGCAGTACATTTGCATCTTTGTTAACACACACATATACATCTATATATATATATATATATGTATATGCATTTATAACAGATGACATATATATATATATATACACACACACATATTTGTGTGTATATATATACATATATATATATATACATGTATATATATATATAGATATATATATATATACATATATTCTGTATACAGAGAACGGTACGTCGTGGAGGAGGGATTTGGAATGAGACATTGCTCCATGAGTTGCGTTGTGTCATACAGGGCAAGACTAAATCAATGTTTTCGCGTATTTGCCTCTAGCAAAATATTGAAAACACAAGCTTTCATATGGGAGCACCCGGCTCGTTTGTTGGTAGCAGCGGGGGCGGCAGGGAGGGGGAGGGGGGGACAACAAAAACGGAGGGGAGGCGGATAGGGGGCGGGGTGCAAAACACAGAAAACAAACAAACCAAGACCCACAAAATTCTGTCAATCAATCAATCACGCTACATAGCTGACACTATCTACAAGACCAGTATTCATAAACAGAATCTATTGCTGATACACAGTCTTTAAATCTCCCTTGGGGCCAGGCGTGGCTGGCACGACAGCTTTGACCAGGCCTGAGACAAGGCAAAATGGAAGTGGGGACCAAAGCAACCGTTCAGAAGTTACACCACCCAAGACCCTGAACAGCGGGAGCCAAACCAAGGCAATACCGGGTGTTGACTTCAAGATCCACACTCACGGAGGCAAGGGGAAACAGCCGCATTACCTGCTCACCCGCAGCGCGAAACATCGGCATTGTTCCGGCATTCTGGAGGTAGGGTTCAGGGTTTAGGGCTTTGGGGTGGTATATAGGGGTTGTTGGAAGCTCAAGGCATCGCCAAAGCTGTGCGTAAATTGAGGCCCCAGCTGAGCAGCTTGCGAGTGTAGTGATCCCGGTTGCCGAGCCTCCCGAATCAACATGGGAATTGCAGAAAACAGGGGACTGCAACATAGCCCTTGCAGGATCTTTCTTATGAGGACCAACGAATCATGTGTCCTTGAGGTAACTTGTGTACTTCGCCTCGGCCCCGGCCGAAGCAGTCATCCCCAGAAGGACCTGGAGACCCCACCCCGCCTTCAATGAAGAGGCCCACCCCTGCCTTTGCGGCTGTGCCCAACCCCGAAGCGCAGGACGCGAAGCATTTACAGGCAGACTACAGTATGCCTCAAAACCCCATCTTGATGGGAGCCCCTAAACCCTAAACCCTAATCCCAACCTTACTTCTTGGCCTGTCCATCCGGTCAGCGGCTTCTCGCACTAGAAGCCGCGCCTGCTACGCAAGATGCAAGGGATAGGCAGGACAACGCGAGTAAAGCATGTGCTAAGTGAGCCATATAAGGTGTTGAGAAGGTTTGTGAATCCCATGGTGCCCCGAACATGCCTGGTCGATCTCTGAACGGCACTCGGCAATCTGCTGCACCTTATAGCAATGCGAAACAATGAGAACACTTCAAATTCCGTGCTACCGAACCTGCCAGTTCTACCCTAAACCCGTTTCATGAATCCTTCAACCGGGCTCCTCACGACGGCACCCATCTCGGCCAGTTTTTGGCCGAAGGCCGTGCGTGTGGTGGCGCGGCCTTTGGTTTGGGGATTACTACAATTTAATATAAGGGGCCTCAATAATTAGAATAGGGTTTTGGGGTATAGTAGACTGTCTGTAATTACAACAAGGAACTCCAAGATAGTATTGGCACTTGTTTACACCCCGACATTACAATTATCAAGCCCCGAACCCTAGGATTCGGGTTCGGGCCGTTCAGGGCTTAGGTTTAGATCTCTGCCTTACTCTGACTACAGGTAGCAGCTCAGGCCGCGGGCACGAGGAGGGAATCCGACTAAGACCGACATGCGAAGCAGAAAGGCAAAGTCGTCACCGACGGCAGCGCTGTAGACTTACAGCTGAAACCCAACAGACGACTTCTGTCGCTTTCGCAAACGACTGGGGCTGCTTTATGGGGGCGTCTTGCTCTCTGTAAGCGCCTGGCGGCACATGTGGCTTAATGCGCGCTCTGCCTGCGGCAGCAAACTCTTCACACACAGCAGATCATGCTGCTTTGATTTCCAGCTCGTACAGCAGAGTATTGCAAAAAGCTTGCAGAAAACCCCGCTGCTTGATACTAACCTGGGAAAGGAAACATTCACACGAGACACTTGCGCCCTGCCTGCCCAATCATCCGCATGCAGTGATGGATACCTTGTGGCAGTGCCCTAAACCCTAAACCCCGATTTAAATCCCAAACCTGGCAAAAACGCCGGCCACTCTACACCCAGCCAGGACATCACAAAAGCACGAAGCTATGAAACCCTATACAAACCTTTACAAACCTTGACCTTTTACTTCTTATATGAACCATATGTGCCATATGATCCATATAAAGACCTACGAACTCATGCCTTTTAAACCCCTAAGCTCCAAGCCCTAGAACTCCGAAGCTGCTGCGCCTGGGCAGCTGAACATAGGGTTTGGGATTCGGGGGACCCTTGGGGATATAGAGAGTTTAGGGTTTAGGGTTTAGGCTCTTACTAAGGTCCCCTTTTGAGAGAGCCAATAAGTAGGGTTAAGAAGGGTTCCCTCTAAGGGGTCTCCCTAATACTACCCAGGATCATGGGCTCCAAACCCCTTATGGTGGCTCTTGTAGAACCCTTAAGGGAACACCAAAACCCTCTTCTAATTATTAAGGCCCCTACACCCTAAGCCCCCTATAGTAGCCCTTATATATAGAACCCTTCAAGGAACCCCAAAACCCCTCAACCCTAAACCCTTATAGTAGCCCGAAAAATCAA